GATATTACTATGCCAGAGGTGAGTTCCTCTACTCAACAAGGTGTGCAATGGAGGATTGTCACTCTTCTATTATCTAATGTGGACTGGATGATCTCTCAAGATGTTATGCTGGAATATTCTCTTCCAGTAGAGCACTCCGAGCTGTCACAGTTACTAGAGGTCCACCGAGTGGCCAGGCTTGGGGCGATGGGGTCACTGTAGGTACCAGCCCTGCATCATGGAGCCTGTGCGAAAGGGTTGCCAACCAGGCAGGGGCAGTCGTGTTCAGACTTGGCCATGTGTTCTTTGTTTATTTTTTTCTTGTTAATTTGTCTTTTATTATGAAGGCCAGTTGAAAACTTTAGAAGGGTAGAAGGAAACTTACTTTTTGTTCCCTATATAGCCATGTTAGCATTACACTTAATTATAAAAATGCTTTCCCTTTGAAGTTATGAATAAAACAAGGCTGTTCTTTATCATCATCATTTTTCTTTTTGAGTTGGAGTCTTTCACTCTGTTGCCCAGGCTGGAATGCAGTGGCACGCTCACGGCCACCGCAACCTCGACCTGCAGGGCTCAGGCAATCCTTCCACCTCAGCCTTCCAAGTAGCTGTAACCACAGATGCAATATAAGATATTAACATTGCAAGAGAAAAGGCAAAATTGTCTTTATTCATATATATTATGTACCTTAAAAATTTGAAAGAATATGCAAACTATTAAGATTAATATGCAAATTAACAGTGACATAAAGATACAGGATGTGAAGATAATATATTGAGAGCAATTTTATTTTGATACTTATATAAGGTCAATGTAAACATTAATTTTATTTTGGTATACTAATAATAACTGGAAAATGAGGTTAAAGTTCTATTTGCAATAGAATACACGCATCAAATGCTTAGGCATAATACAATGAAATATATGTAAGATCTATTTAATGAAATCTATGAAATAATACTGTGAAAAAAATTAAAGAAGACTAAAATAGATGGTCAGTAAAATGATTGGAAGGCAATGTTGTTAAGGTATAGACTCTCACCAAATTGATCTATAGATTTAAGGCATTTCTAATCAAAATCCCATCAGGGTTTCTCTGTGTGTAATTTGACAAGTTGATTCTAAAATTCATGTGGTAAAGTTAAGGACCTAAAAGACCCAAGACAATTTGGAAGAAGAACAAAGTTGACAGGCACACATGATCAGATTTTAAGTCTTACAATAACAGTGACTAATCAAGACAGTGTAGTGCTGGTGCAAGCATAGGCACATAGACCAGTGAAATAGAACGGAGAGTCTAGAAATAGATTCACATATAGATAGTCATATGATTTACATCAGTGGTGCTATTGAAAGCTAACTGGTAAAGAATGGCCTTTTCTATAATGATTTTGGAGCATGCATCTAGCAACTTAACAAAACAAAACTTTCAACCTATCTAATTCTATAAGTGAATAGGAGATAAACAAAAATGTGAAGGGAAAAACAGAAAGGCACGTAGAAGGAAAGAAACATCAGACAATAGATGCTCAACCCTGATATAGATAAGAATTTGTTAAACTGGACACAAAAAAGTCTTATAAGTAATCTTTTAATCACAAAAGAAAAGCTGAGAAGTTGTATTTTATTAAAATTAAGAGAATAAAAATATAAGCCCCAACGGGGAGAAGATATTAAAACTGCACATATTCAACCAAAGATTTATATCTAGCCATATCCATCCAAGATTTATATCTGATTTATATTTGGATTTACAATAAAAATACAAAAAACCTCAAAGGGTTAGAAATAACATGTTACAGAAGATATCTAAATGGTCAATAAGCATATGAAAAGTTGTTCACTATCATTAAACAACAAGGAAGTGGAAATAAAACTACACTGAAATACCACTACACATCTACAAGAATGGCTAAAAATAAAAACATTGACAATGCCATGTTATGGCAAAGAAGTAGGATATCTGGAATTCTTAAATATTGCAGATAGGACTGTGAATTGACATAGCTGCTTTGGAAAGCTGTTTGTAGGTATTACTAAGTAGATATTTACTTAGTAGGTATCTACTAAGGCAAAACATGCACTTACCCTATGAACCAGAAATTATACTCCTAGTTACACACTCAAGAGAAGAGAATGCATATGTCTATCAACTGTTCATAGCAGCTTTATTATTTATTTATTTCTTTGAGACAGGGTCTTGTACCCAGGCTGGAGTTCACTGGCACATTCACAGTTTGCTGAGACCTCAACCTTCTGGGCTCAAGCAATCCTCCTGCCTCAGTCTATGAAAGTGCTGGGATTACAGGTGGGAGCTACTCACCCTGCCCTCAGCAGCTTTATTCATAACAGCTAAAAACTGGAAGCAATCCAAATTTCTATTCACAAGAGAAGGGATAAGTAAATTATGTTATATTCAGGTAATAGAGTACTATACAGTAGTAAGAGTGATCTGCTGATGTATGTAATGATGTGGATTAATCGCATGAACATTATTTTGAGTGAAAAAAGCCATACACAAAAGGGTGCATACTGTATAACTCTATTTGTGTATAGTTCAAGAACAGGCCCTACTAATTGATACAGACAGAGGTCAGAATATTAGTTACATCTGGCATGTGTGTGTGTGTGTGGGGGGGAGGTGAAGAATATTACCGGGGAAGGGGCATAAAGAAACCTTTGGATGCCAGAACTGTTTGCCATCTTAATCTGGATGGTGTCTATAGCAATATAGGTTGAATAGACACTATATGCTGTGTGTCCCGTCCATATGCAGCAAACAACAGAGAGGCTCATGAGGAAGAAAGACATTAGACAACTAACTTTAGTAATGTGTTGGGTGCTGTGGTAGAGGAAATAGTGGTGGCTCTCGGCATATGGAGCAGGGAGAACTCAGGCATTCTAGGGATAAGGGAAGACTTCCTGGAAGACTTCCTGGAATGCCACAGGCATTCAACTGGGATAAGAGGAGTGAGAGGAAGAGAACATGCCAGGCAGAGGGACACGTATGTACAAAGTCCTAGAGGTGAGAGAGTAAGGCACATCCAAGGAATCAAAACATTTGGTATGGCTAGAGTACAGGAGAAAAGATGAGGATGGAAGGGCGAGGCTATGGGGTCAGCAAGAATCTGCTCTTTGATCACTAAATGTGTTAGCGGGGTGTGGTGGCATGTAACTGTAGTCCCGGCTGCCTGGGAGGCTGAGGCAGGAGGATCACTTGAGCCCAGGAATTGGAGATTGCAGTGAGCTATAATCACGACTGTGAATAGTTATTGTACTCCAGCCTGGGCAACACAGCAAGATCCTGTCTCTACCAAAAAAAAAAAAAAAGTGATGTGTTAGAAGCAGCAGGAAGCAGGAGGCTGAGGAGGCGGGACTGAAGATCTCATGAGTTGGATGTGCCGCATGAGAAGAGGGAAGATTCTTCCTGGACTTGCCTCCATTTCAGCACTATCAGCAAAGGAACATAATTCTGGATTTTAGCCGAGGTCAGGCACCTGCAGTGTGATGTGGTTGGTCTCCGCCTCCGAATTTCGTGTCCCTTTGTTGATACTCACTTCCTCCTAGAAGGAGCCCTATGCTCCTGAAAGATCCTTCTTTTCTTTCTTTCTTTTTTTTTTTTTTGAGTTGGATTCTCTGTCCCCCAGGCTGGAGTGCATTGGACCGCTCCCGGTCACTGCAGTCTCGACCTGCTGGGCCCCGGCGATCCTTCTGCCTCGTCTTCCAAGTAGCCGGAACTAAAGGCGCGCGCTACCACACCAGGCTAATTTTTTGATTTATTGTAGAAACGAGGTCTCACCATATTGTCCAGGCTGGTCTTGAACCCGTGGGCTCAGGCACTCCTCTCACCTCGGCCTCCCGAAGTGCAGGGATCATAGTCTTGAGCCACCGCGCCCGACCCTGAAAGGTCTTTCAATGCTGGGTGAGCTTTGGCAGTTTAATTTGCTGAACTCTGGTGAGTGAGGTTGGGTGGGGCTGGGATGTTGGAAGGAGGGAGACGGGTGGAGGGTTTTGTCGAACGCATCCTCCTCCAACGGGGGCGCAGAGTGGTTTGACAACATCCGTGAGGGAGGATACTTTGGAGATGGAGATCAGAGGATCCCACGTCCCAGGAATCTTAACCTTTGTCCTCTGACATAGCCTAGTTTGGAGTTGTTCAAGCCGCACGTGGAGTTGACAGCGCCCCCTGGCCCTAGGCGGAGTCGAGAGCGCGAGAGGACGCCCATCTTCAGCTGGGGGACAAAACTCCAGGAATAAGACGTTTATCAGCTATTGGTTTGTAAATTCGGAGAGCGTTGGCCCCGCTGGTTCCTCCTTCCCTCTGCGCTATCCCAAACATCCAGCCTGGAAGCGGACTTAGAAGCCAAGAGCTGCCCGCAGCGAATACTTTTAATGCCCAGGCCGGGAAGAAAGTGGGTTAGGATCGGATCCCGCTGAGGAGAGGACCCAGGAGGCTCCCGCCCCGGGCTCTCCGCGGTGCGGGCGCGCGCTGCGCTGGGGCGGTGGCTGCGTGGGCGCGGCGATGCAGGTGTGACACGGGCCGGCGCCCGCCTCCGCCGGGATCGCCCCTGCGCCACGTCGGCCGGCGCTGCTGGCTGGGCTGCCAGGGTGCTGCCGCTCCGCCCGCACCCGGATCTCCCGCCCAGGTAGGGGTCGGCGCTGCCCGCTGCGCTGCGGCCAGACCCGGCCGGGGTGCGGACACCGTGCGCTCCAGGGCTCGGGGCTCGCCTGCCTGGGCCGAAACACGCACGCCGGTACCGCTGCGTCGTTGAGAGTCGGTGGTGCAAAAGAAGAGGAGAGTGTTGGAAAGCTGGCGCAGAACAGCGAGGACTTGCCCGCTGCCCGGGTCTGGGCGCTGCTTTGAAGGTGGCCTCCCCAAGGGCTTTTTGAAACCCGGTTTCAACTATGAGCGCCATAAGTAGTTTTGCAACTTACACATGCCAGGCTGCTGACAATTACAGCTCCGTTTCCATACGCTTTTAGTTTCCGTTCCATCCCTATTAGATGGATTTTGTTGTTGTTGGTTTGTTCTTAAGAACAGATTTCACACACGCACACACCTGGTGGTTCTGGCTGAGGTTGTGAGTGTGTGCTTCTGTGTGTGCAGGGCGCCCCTCCGCGGGCGTGGGAGCCGTTTCTCAGGGACAGAGAGGATTTGTTTATGGATGGGCTTTAGCGCAAGGAAATGAGCGTGATTTGTTTTGCAGGGCTGGGCGAGCGAGAGAGAGCCGCCAGGGAGGAGCGAGGCGCAGCCGCTTCTTCCGCAGACGGGCGGCAGATCTCTCTCCTGTCCAGGGTTCAGCAGGGCTGATGAAATACGATCCTTTATCCAGAAATCGCAGATGCAAACTAGCTCCGTTTAAAGGTAACTTAAACGCCGGTGTCTTGGGCTTTAATAAGGGCCCCCGGGTGGGGTGGGGCGGGGCGCTGGGGGATGCTCACTCTCTGTCCTAGCCTGTTGGGGAGGTGAGTGTGGATGGCTCTGGGGGCTCAGGGAGTGGCAGGTGAGGCACGCGAGGGGTGTGTATGGGGGAGAACCGGGAGTTGTAACCAGCGCGGCGGTTGTTCTGGTCTATACTGGTCTTTTCTATATTTCTGCTTGTTGCCCGTTCCAGAAGAGGTGCCTTGCTCTGCGTGTCCCAGTCGATGCGGTAGACACAGTCCAGGCTCATTCAGCAACTACTTACTGAGCGCTTAGTGTGTGTCAGAGGTGGGATTAATCCTTGGGGATGCAGAGGTGATGAAAACAAAGTCCTGGCTCTCCAGAAGCTCACACCTGGTGGTGGTGGTGGGGAAGGGCTTTGAAAAGGAGGGGTGATAAGTTCAGTAATGGTGATGGGAAAACGCAGTGGCAGCAGCGAGGAGTGCGTTGATGGTGACAGAGATTACTTTAAAAATGATGGAGTAGGCATGACATGGATTTCAGCAATGGCTGGATCCCTCTCTTGGTCCTTGGGTCCTGGAGTGACCCATATCCCTCTCTCACGCCATCCATCACCATCACTGCCACTGGGTGGGCAGAGCCTTGCAAGTCTCAGCAGGGCTGGCGGTGGCAGGATGTGACTAGACCCCAGTAGACATGGGCTGACACCGGGAGAGGAGCACGCCTGATGCAGGTCAGCCTTCTTATTTTTTCCTTTTTTAAACAAATGATTTTCCGGAATTCCAAGAGTATGAAGGTTTTGAAGCGTCACTTCACAAAGACAGAGACTCTGGAACATTCTAAGGGGGGTTTCAGGGCAGATGAGCTTCTGTCTTCTCCCCGAGTCCCTGACCCATCTGTTCTTGTCCCAGAACAGTTCAAAAGGAAAACTCTGACCTTGGTTGTCCCTAAATGGGTGGAATATAGAAAAACTAAAGGTGTTACTACTGATCTTCTCTGGGAGATGAAAATCCAAACTCAAGGATGTTTCTTCTGGACAAAAGCTGTGGTGGGTGACGAGAGATGGTAGCATGAAGAGCTCTTATGCGGTGCATACTTGCCAGAGATGTGTGTCCCATGCACTTTGCACCTACACCATCTTTAAGGTGTTTGAAAAGCAGCTTGGTGTCCTGCAGGGAGCATGGGCCCTGATGCTCAGACAGACCTAGGTGAGTGTGTTGGGCAAGTTACTTGGCTGCTCTTTGAGCTTTGTTTTCCTGATTTGTAAAATGGAGACAACAGTAGGGTTGTTGTAATAATTACAGAAAAAAAATACTTAAAACTATTTGCTTGTTGTCAAATGATTGTCATCAATAAATTGCCAGGCACAAAGTAGGTGCTCAAGAAATGGCAGTTCATTCATTAGTTGAGTTCCTACTAGTATCAGGCACTGCTCTGTGAGTAAGGGATATGGAACTGAGCAAACTAAAACCCTTACCCTCAAGGAGCCTAAGTTGGTGTGTGTGTGTGTGTGTGTGTGTGTGTGTGTGTGTGCGTGTGCACACGCATGTGTGTCAGACAGTATTAGCCAATGAGACACTGTAATGTAGAAAAATAAAACAGGCTAAGAGGATTGAGAAGTGCCGCCAGAGGGTGGGGTGGGGGGGACATTTTTTCCCTTCTTTTTAATGCAGCTTGGTTGGGTAAGGCTTTGCTTTTAAATGACATTTGACCAGACCTCTGGGAAGTGGGGGAGGAAGCCAGGGATTCTGGGCAGAGTAACAGCATCTGCAAAATCCTGTGGCAGGAGAGAGGCACGTTTACCAGTACTGGAAAGGAGGCCAAAGAGGCTGCGACTGAGTGGGTGAGGGGGACAGCAGTGGGAGTTGAGGTCAGAGGGGCTGCACGGCAAGGTGGTTGAGGCATTGTCTCTTACGATTTCTATTTGTCACTAAAATATATGGGCTGAGTTCCTGCTCAAGGAGTTGGCTGAAATCCTAAACTCTATGTAGACACAGGTTCTTGTGGTCACCCGAAGCATAAATGAATGCAGCAAGCAGAAGGCAAAAATCTTTGCAAGGCAGTGGGAAGCATGGGAGTTAGGGAGCTGGTGTGACACAGCGTTCAGATCTCTTTTATTCAGATTGAGGACTGCATTTGTGCTTCTTTTGAACCTTAGCATTATGTTTCTTTGTTTTCTTTCCCCTACAGTGAAATAAAAGGTCATCTTTAGCATATAGTCCAGCAGATATTGTCCTTGCTAGTCATTATTCTTTTTTCCTTTGAGAATGAGAAGAGTTTCTATGGTCATGGAAAAGTGTTAAGATCATCTGGAAATATACTGACCTTCAATGTACCATGATATCATATGGCAGATTTATTTGAGGCTTTCATCTTATAGAAGCCTTACTATAAAGTTCAGTTTGCTGCTCTGCCTTTTTGAGACTTTGTTCCTCTAGAGAATGCATGGTTTTGGGATCTGAGAGCTCCATTATCCAGATGTCTTTGGTGCAGAAGGGCTACTGCAGTGTGTTCCAGGAACAGAAGTGGGGCTGGATGCCTAAGAACCTTGTCAAAGTTTCTGTGAAATAGGACATGTGAGCCTGGGTCAAAATCAGGGTATCTGACTGAGTACCCCCTAAGTCATCTTAAAAGGCAACATTTACTTCTGTGAATTTACTTCATCCAAGGTCTGGCTTTTAGTCTTGTTGCCTCAGAGACCTGATCTTTCTCTCTGGGCCACATTACAGTGACCTTGTTCAGCCATTAGTCTATTGATTTGCAATGACTGAGATACTGTGTGGCTTGGCTAGTGCGACATCTTCCTGCAGAACCCCTGTCATAAGAATGAAATTGGCCGGGCTTGGTGGCTCAGCCTGTAATCTCAGCACTTCGGGAAGCTGAGGTGAGTGGATTGCCTGAGCCTGCGGGTTCAAGATCAGCCCGGGCAACTTGGCAAGACTTGTCTCCACAATAAATAAAAAATTAGCCGGGCGTGGTAGCACATGCCTGTAGTTCCAGCTACTTGGAAGGCTGAGGTGGAAGGATCTCCAGAACCCAGCAAGTCGATGATGGGATGGCTGTGAGTGTGCCACTGCTCTCCAGCCTAGGCAACAGAATGACATTCCAATTAAAAAAAAAAAAAGAATGAAATTACAAGGAGGTTTCCTGATACACATTTATTGAGAGCAAAGCAGCTTAGATGGCTACCTTAGGGATTAATTATACACATCAGGGCTGATCTTGCCAATGGGATGACAGACCAAACCACCTCCAAACTTAGTGGCTTAAAATAACCACTATTTGTTATTTTCTCGCAGGGATGTGTGTTGGCTGAGCAGTTCTGCAGACCTGAGCTGTGCTTGCTTGATCTCAGCTGTGTCTGCTCATTTGATTTTGGTCTGCTGATGGAGTTTCTGAGGGCTGGCTGCTTTAGGATGGCCTCAGGTGGGATGACTTGGCTCTGCTCCACGTGCTCACTCATCCTTCAGCAGTCTAGCCTGGCATGTTCACATGGTAGTGGCAGGTGGCCAACAGAAAGTGGAAGCTTGCATGGCCTCTTAAGGCCTAAGCTTATGACTGTCACACAGTCACTTTATCCTTGTCTAATGACAAATGAAAGAAACAAGACAGCCCAGAGTAAGGGCAGGGGAAGAATGAGAGTCTCATTCTTACCCAGATTGGAGTGCAGTGGTATGATCACAGTTCACAGCAGCCTTGAACTTCTGGGCTGAAGTGATTCTCCCATCTCAGCCTCCCAAGTACCTGGGACTAGAGGTGCACACCACCATACCTGGCTAATTTTTTTTGATTCTTTAAAATTTTTTTTTTAATTTTAAAGACGTGGGGTACAATTCAGGGTTAGGGATACAAATGTTCATTATGCAGATACCCTTGTTGATGAGGTATCTCCCCCTCCCGTCAGATTCCCACTACTGTCAATCCTTTTCTTATAGTATTACGATAATTTTTCACTTATGAGTGAGAACATGTGATACACAGTTTTTTGTTTCTATGACAAGTCACTCAGTATTTTAGACTCTAAGTCCATCCAAGTTGCTGTGAAGTTCATAATTTTGTCCTCCTTTATGATTTTTACTTTTTTTTTGTAGTGATGAAGTCTTACTATTTGCCCAGGCTGGCCTTGAACTCCTAGGCACAAACAATCCTCTTGTCTTGCCCCCCTGAAAGTGTAGACTCCATTTCTTGATAGGAGGAACTACGAAGTCACATTGCAAAAAACATGGATACGGGGAGGGAAAGAATTTGGGATATTTTTGCAATCAGTCTACCATAGGTACCTTAATGTTGAAAGTCCCCTTGGCTAAGTTTCTTTTTCTTTTGGACTCTGCTTTAACGGGCAGAATTTATACTTGCCCTTGTGACGCTCCCTTTTTCTCTGTGTTTCTATGGTTGACCATCTATAGACATATGCATCTTCAAATAGTCATTCATTCACTACATATTTATTGAGCAGTCCCTATGTGCCAGGGCATGTTATAGGCAGTGGATCCAGTAATAATAATAATAATAATAAACAATAATGATAATCAACCAAGATCCATTTCATGAAGCATTCATTCTAGTTGGGGGAGACAAATAATATGTAATTGAATAAGTAAATGTGTAATATCGATGATTAAGGAATATCAAGTAGGAAAAGGAAGATGAGGAGTACCTGGTTGAATTGGGGTGGAGGGTAGGGTGAGGTGAGGGGTGAGTGTTTAATATAAGGTGGAAGTGACATGAAGGAAGTAAAAGAGTGTGCAAAATGGATATCTGGAGAAAGACATTTCTGCGTAGGGAAAACAACAAGTGCAAAGGTCCTGAGGCAACAGAGTACTGGCATATTCCAGGAAGAACAAGGAGACTCAGACAGAAGAAACTGAATGAGGCAGAGTGACCATGGGAGGAGATGAAAGCAGGGAAGTAGCAGGGAATCTGGTAATACAAGGTCTTATAGGGCTTTGTGTGGTCTTTGGCCTTTACTTTGAAAGAGATGG